GTCCCTCTGAGTCCCGATCGGTGATCCAATAAAGAATCTCTTCCTTCCTGAAGAAACCTGTGTCCATTCCTCTGTGCTTTGCTTCCGTCAGTTTCTCCGGTATCATTTGGTGCATTGGCCGGGAATCTCATCGTTCAACGGTAGCTGAGAGGCAGAGGCGTGAGACGGTCTATCTTTGCCCACGTTCTCTACGGCTGCACCTCTGAACTTCTGCGTGGACCTCCCTTCGTCTCGGCGCCACTGGTCTGTTGTCCAGGAGATCATCGGCCTCTACGTAAGAAGTGCTGGGGTGTCCCCGTCGATGAGTGTGAACTCAGGTTCAGGAACGAGGAGGTAAGACAACTGTTGTTTTAGACGGCAGACCCACTAGGGGTATACCGATTGTGCGGTAGGCCCAAAAGGGGTTTAAATCTGTGTATGGAATCTGCCCCCTCTGTCGGAGGGAAGGAGCGAAGGCGCACCGCTCGATCGAACGCTCTTTAGTAAGACCGCTTGATCTGGTTAGTCAGGCGGGGTCCTGTGTAAATAGCCCTAGCCGGACACCGGTGTCTTGTCTAGACTAGCGTTCTAGGGTGTATATTACGTTCGCTAGGTCGGAGGGACCGGGAGACTAAGCGGCGCCTGTGTAAATTCGGTTCGCTAGCTCTCAACCTATCTTGGCTAAGTGGGAAGGCGCGTAAATTTGGAACCCACTAGACTTTTGATAGAGTAAATAGACTAGAAGGGCAATTTTGTAAATTTCGCCCTCTAGTTCGCTATATGTGGTGTTTGGGCAGTGTGGCTAACCAAAACGGGTGTATATAGTTTTAGGTAGTCCATTCAAGGTATTGGCCAATAGTTTAGTTGGGATTGTAAATGTGTTAAAGATTGTTAGTAAAGTGTATATCTTGTTAGATAGCGCGAGCTCAGCCGTCTAGCGAGAGTGTTAATAGTGTGTTGCTGTATCATAGTGCACGGTACCATAACTCTGTATATTTACTGACACTGTATATAAGTACTAATCATTGTCGTCTATTGCATGTTTAACACCATAACCACTAGTAATTGTATTGTGACCTTAAATTGTGCTTTGACCTATGCTAACCGTATTGTAACCGATACTAGTAAAAGACGATGTTACTGGGGTGTGTTATAGACGGGTAATTCATATATAGAGAATTATAGCGTGGGTGACTGTATAGTTTCGCCAAAGGGCATAATATTGATTATTTAGTGACTGGTGTAACAGCTGTGTGTGTACGGGAATTCCCTGAGTGATTATTGTGTTATTGTGTACGTTTCACTCGGTAACTGTACCACGTGGTGCTGTTGCCAGAGGAAACGGGTGTGACTGTTGAATAAGAACGCGTGCATAGTATTCGTTGTCAACGACGTTCCATTGATAAGTATGGGCGCGTCAGAGTCAACGATTTCGGATCCCTTAGGTTGTATGGTAAAGAATTTTAAAAAGGGATTCAAAACATGTGATTTTGGGGTTAAAATGTCTCCTGTACGTTTGGTCACTTTGTGCACTAGGGAGTGGCCTACTTTGGTTGCGGCATGGCCGCCGCGTGGCAATTTGGATCCAACCCTGGTACAGCGTGTACACGTGGCTGTATCAGGTAGGCCTGAACTTTACGGACAGTTTCCATACATTGATTGTTGGAGGCAGGCCGTAAACGACTCGCCAAAATGGATCCGGATATGCCACGAGGAGCAATGTCGCCTCATGGTGGCCAGGACTTATTTGTCCACTAGGACCGGTGTTAGGCCCATTTTGGACACGCCCCCTGAGTCCGAGATCCCTTTGCCGCCCCCTTACTTCCCTTTAAGAGGAAGTGACGCGAATGCAGGAAGTTCTGCACCCCTTCCCCTATTGCCCCCATCCACTTCCGCTTCCTCCTCCAGTACAGAATCCACCCCCCCTCGTATTAAAACTCCCCTTCCTGAACCAGGACCAACCCCCATTAGATCTGAATATCCTGATTTGGCGCCACTTCAAACTTCCGGTCAAGCTTCTTCTAGCTCGGCTCAGAGTATACTATTCACTAATTTTTCACAAAATCAAGTTCCCACATCCTCATGCCCTATTACCTCTCGACCGGAACCTTTAACTGACGCCCCTCCACGTAGCCCCATACTAACCCGACAACTGACCGGTACCCAACAATTAAAACATTATCAGATGCCTCTTCGTCTGAATCCTGGGTCAGCCTATATCGATGCCGCAGGTCAAATGGCACATGCTGACCCAGTCTTCGTATATGTCCCGTTCACGACTACCGATCTCTTGAATTGGAAGACCCACAATTCCTCGTACACTGAGAAACCACAAGCTATGACCGATCTGTTCACCTCGATAGTTCAGACACATAACCCGACATGGGCTGATTGCCAGCAGTTATTAATGACATTGTTCAATAATGAGGAAAGGACAAGGATTAACCAAGCGGCCATTAAGGCGCTAGAGGAGAGAGCCCGTGCTTTAAATCAAGCCAATCCGGCAGCATGGGCCGCAACACATTACCCTAACACCGATCCTGACTGGAATGTAAATGGCGCAGATATGGCTCAACTTAAAGCCTATAGAGACGCTATAATTGCTGGCATGAAAGCCGGAGGGAAGAAAGCTATTAACATGTCAAAGACAGTTGAGGTGATTCAGAAAAGTGATGAAGCGCCCAGTGTCTTTTATGACCGATTACTGGAGGCATACCGCTTGTATACCCCCTTTAATCCGGAAGACGCTGATAATTTCCGAATGGTAAACTCCGCCTTTGTCAGCCAAGCTTACGGAGATATTAAGCGCAAGCTACAGAAATTAGAAGGGTTTGCAGGTATGTCTATCACCCAACTAATGGAGGTAGCGAACAAAGTATATATGAATAGGGAAACAGAAAGTAAGAAAGAGGAAGAGCGCAAGATGCGTAGAAAGGCAGATATGTTAGCGGTAGCGATCGCAGGCGTAGATAGACGGGGCTCAGATAGAGGCGATGGTAGATGGAATAGGGAGCCTTTGAGTAGGAATCAGTGCGCGTACTGCAAGGAAGAAGGGCATTGGAGGAATGAGTGTCCGCAAAGAGAGCAGTATGAGAGAGACTTACCCAGGGCAGGTTATGGAAACTTTAGAGGCAGAGCGAGAGGTAGAGGAGGCCCCGGAGGGAGTAATGGTAATAGAGGGAGTAATGGGAACAGAGGAAGTGTAAGGGAAGATAGGTACTATCCAGCAGCGCAAAGGTCCCGCGATAGAGAAGGTAGGGACTTTGTGGGATTGGCTGACACGGTCATGGAGGACTATTGATACCGACCGGGCTCCATCCCCCTTGGTCGAGCGGAGCCTATGGTCGATGTATCAATAGGGGGAAAAAGGAGTGCGTTCATGATCGACACTGGTGCTGAACATTCGGTGGTGACTAATCAAGTTGCTCCTCCATCTGGAAGAACTATTACTGTAATAGGAGCAACTGGAAGAAGTGCTGAAAAACCGGTTCTTAAAAGTCGACTCTGTACATTGGGAGGCCACGTAGTAAAACATCAATTCCTTTATATGCCTGAGTGTCCAGTCCAATTGCTGGGACGTGATATGCTATCCAAATTACAAGCGCAGATTACGTTCCTACCAAATGGAACAACATCCTTAAAGTTTAATGGACCCTCAGGTATTATGACATTGTCCGTACCAAAGGAAGAAGAGTGGCGACTTTATACAGTGTTGACTAGCCAAAACCCGAGGAGTGATGAATCCTTATTTAACATACCAGGAGTTTGGGCAGAGAACAACCCACCAGGACTGGCCCGCAATATTCCACCTATTAAAATCGAACTAAAACTTGGGGTTTATCCAGTAAGCCTGAGACAATATCATATTCCGCAGAAGGCTAAGAAGAACATCCAATCTTATTTGGATAAGTTCATACGGTATGGTATCCTAAAGTTCTGTACTTCCCCCTGGAACACCCCATTGCTGCCTGTTCAAAAGCCCGGTACAGATGAGTATCGACCTGTGCAGGACTTGAGAGCAGTCAATGATGCGGTTGTTAGTATACATCCAGTCGTGCCCAATCCATATAACCTGCTTGCTTTAATTCCGGGCGGGGCTACTTACTTTACAGTCTTAGATCTCAAAGATGCCTTCTTTTGCCTCCGAATTGCCGTAGAGAGCCAATGTATCTTTGCTTTCCAATGGGAAAATGCTGTAACGGGCTCGAAACGCCAAATGACCTGGACAAGATTGCCCCAGGGGTTTAAAAATTCACCTACCCTATTTGGTTCAGCTCTAAGCCAAGATCTACTAGATTTCGAGTCTATCCCAGGAGAGTGTGTATTATTACAATATGTAGATGACTTGTTGATAGCAGCAGTTACAAAGGAAGTATGTCAGCAAGCAACGCATGATCTACTACACATCCTCTGGAAGGCAGGATACAAGGTGTCAAGAAGGAAGGCTCAGTTGTGTTTGCCAACTGTCAAATATCTGGGATTCCATATCTCTGAAGGTCAAAGAATTATGGGGCCAGAGAGAAAAGAAGCTGTGTGCCAAATACCGATACCCAGGAATAGAAGACAAGTGCGAGAATTCTTGGGGGCAGCAGGCTTCTGTAGGATATGGATTCCCAGCTACGCGATACTGGCAAAACCTCTGTATGCAGCTATCAAAGGTACAGAGCACGACCCCTTCTTATGGACTCAAGAACAGCAAACGGCATTCGAAGATGTGAAGAGGGCTTTGATGAGTGCCCCAGCATTAGGTCTACCTGACCACACACGGCCATTCTACCTGTATGTACATGAGCAAAGAAGAATGGCTGTGGAGTATTGACACAGTACTTGGGATCATGGCAAAGACCTGTTGCCTACATGTCTAAGCAACTGGATGCAGTGGCCAGCGGACTTCCACCTTGTCTAAGAGCTGTAGCTGCAGCCGCCCTGCTAGTAGCTGAAGCCGATAAACTCACTCTGGGTCAAGAACTTTATGTACGAGTTCCACATGCAGTACAGACGTTGTTGGATTACAAAGGAAATCATTGGTTTAGTAACAGCCGTATGACCAAGTATCAAGCAATGTTGTGTGAAAACCCAAGAGTGCATTTAGAGACTGTAAATACCTTAAATCCAGCTACCCTTTTGCCACAACCTACTGAAAGTCAACATGATTGTTTGGAAGTAATGGATGAAGTATTTTCAAGTAGACCAGATCTTCGTGATTTTCCCATCCAGAACCCTGATGTTCAATATTACACCGACGGCAGTAGTTATGTAAAAGAAGGGATCCGCTATGCAGGATATGCAGTAACAACGATAGACAAGGTGATAGAAGCTCGGCCACTGGCAAAAGGAACATCAGCACAAAAGGCAGAATTGATAGCACTGACACGAGCGTTACAATTGGCTGAAGGTTTAAGAGTGAACATCTACACGGACTCCAAGTATGCGTTTTTAACCACTCATGCCCACGGAGCTTTGTATAAAGAAAGAGGACTATTGAATTCAGAAGGCAAAGAAATCAAATACGCAGCTGAGATCCTACAACTATTGGAAGCAGTGTGGGAGCCGAAAGAAGTCGGTATTATACATTGTCGGGCGCATCTGAGAGGAGATGGTGATGTAACCAAAGGGAATCGGATGGCAGATAGTGCAGCTAAGCGTGCTGCTGAATCAGGAAGACAGGAATATGTGGGGCATATAGCTGCTCTTATACCAGCTCCACTGTCTCAATGGACTCCAATTTATACAGCTCAGGAAGAGGAGTGGTTAAGGACTGAACCTGGAAAGTATTTGGAGAACAAATGGTATCAGTTAGAAGATGGAAGAATAGTTATTCCAGCATCACTAGCGGTAGAAATTGTCCAAAACTATCATAACGGGACACATTCTGGGAGAGACAGTACAGAAGAATCTCTCAGAAAACATTTCTACATACCAAGATTGTCCAACTTGACTCAGGCCATTGTACGTAGATGTGTAACGTGTGCTAAAAATAATGCAAGACAAGGACCAGTAAAGCCACCAGGAGTCCAGTTTATGGGGGGACTTCCCATGTCCGATTTACAAATTGACTATACAGTGATGCCTAAATCGGGTGGACATCGCTACCTTCTGGTAGTGGTGTGCACCTATTCAGGCTGGGTAGAAGCATGTCCTACTCGTACAGAGAAAGCAGGAGAAGTCGTGAGATTCCTGCTACGAGAAATAATACCCCGATATGGACTACCCTGCTCTATAGGATCGGACAATGGTCCAGCTTTTGTTCATCAGTGCCTACAACAATTGACTCATATGCTTGGTATAAAGTGGAGGCTTCATACGGCATATAGACCCCAGAGTTCTGGTAAGGTAGAGAGAATGAATAGAACTATTAAGAATCAGTTGGCTAAAATGTGTCAGGAAACCCAACTTAAGTGGAACGTTCTCTTGCCCATAGCTCTATTGCGAATCCGTAGTACACCTACCAGAAGGATGGGCCTCTCTCCTTTTGAAATCATGTACGGGCGACCACCTCCCGTGCTTGGTAACTTAAGGGGGGATTTGAGTCAGTTGGGAGAAGGAATTACCCGGCAGCAGGTTGTGGAGTTGGGTAAGACTATGGAGGAGGTACAGGAATGGGTACAAGATAGATTACCTGTGAATATTTATCCCCCAATTCATAATTACCACCCAGGCGACCAAGTGTGGATTAAAGAGTGGAATAATGTGCCGTTAGGGCCCAAGTGGAGAGGTCCTTATGTTGTTCTTCTGTCTACCCCTACAGCGATAAAAGTAGCCGAAGTGGCTCCGTGGATACATCACTCTAGGGTTAAACCAGCAGCAGCCGATTCCTGGCAAGTTACAGCAAATCCAGAGAATCCCTGCAAAATCCGGTTAAAACGCACGACTCAGTCGGAGTGACGAGGAACCTTGTGGATCACAAATTTTATTGTTTCAGAGACTTGGTAAGTGAGTGAGAAGGCCATAATAAAGCCTGTCCACTCACCAACGAGTGTATAAGTCAGGGAAAGTCTTGAGGGGACCCCTGTGAAGACGAGCAGAACTCCATTCCCTGCAGCCCTTACATCCTGGAAGCTGAGGTGCCTTCGCACGGACGAAGACTGAGGATGACGACGAAAGATGTATTTTTAATAATGTTTATTTATGTGTATTTTTATATTCAGGAAGGTAGAGGTACCGACACTCCTAGCTGTGAGGTATGCATTAAGACTACAAGAACAGGTAACCATATATCCCAGACCCTAATTTGGCATTCGCAATATGAGTGTAAAGGAGATGTATCAAGATGTAGATACTTAAATATAGAATATAGTGTGTGTCATTTAGGAGTAGGAGAACCTAGGTGCTTCAGTCCTGAGTATCAACCCCGTACAATTTGGTTGACTCTCAGAAATGGAGATCCTCAGGGGACCCTAATTAATAAGACGGTATTAGAATCCGTATATTCTTCAGGTGCTCTGCTATTTGATGCGTGTAAAGCAATATCAAGTGGTAGAAAGCCGTGGAATGTATGTGGGGATCTTAGATGGGAGAGGATGTATGGGTCTAACGATAAATATATTTGTCCCAGTAGTAAAAATAGATATGTAAGTCCAAGATGTCCAAATAGAGATTATAACTTCTGCCCATATTGGTCTTGTGTGGGGTGGGCGACTTGGGGACAGACAGTAGACAAGGACATGATTGTGACTAAGTTGCCTATTGATCCATATTGTAAGTCTATGGAATGCAATCCAATCCATATACTTATAAGTAACCCTGACAAGTTCTTAGATAAATATGGTAATTTATTTGGGTTTCAAATATATGGGACGGGTTTAGACCCTGGGACAATATTGTTTATAGGGATAGAGACTGATACGGTAACCTCCCAAACTCATCAAGTATACCATTCCTTTTATGAAGAGATGAGCATAGATAATAAGATCCCCCATAATGCTAAAAACTTGTTCATTGATTTAGCCGAGAGTATTGCCGGTAGTCTTAATGTTACCAACTGCTATGTGTGTGGAGGTACTAACATGGGAGACCAATGGCCTTGGGAAGCAAAGGAGGTAATGTCCGGTTCTAAGGCAGTTGACCAATTAATATCTATACAAGCCGACTATCATATGAGTGTTAGAGGTAAATCTGAGTGGAGATTGAAGACCTCCATCATAGGTTATGTTTGCATAGCGAGGAAAGGAATGATGTATAATACTTCTGTAGGAGAATTAACTTGTCTAGGGCAAAAAGCTTATGATGATGATACAAAGAATACAACTTGGTGGTCGGCTTCAAATGTCTCAGAACCATCTAACCCGTTTGCAAGATATGCCAATTTAAAGGACGTATGGTTTGATCTATCCATCACATCTAACTGGAGAGCCCCAGCGAATTTGTACTGGATCTGTGGTAAGAAGGCCTATTCGGAGTTACCACAGGACTGGGAAGGGGCATGTGTGTTGGGTATGTTAAAACCATCCTTCTTCTTGTTGCCTATTGAAACAGGTGAGACTTTAGGTGTTAAAGTGTATGATGTGAATCATAGGAAGAAAAGGGGACCCATAGAGATAGGTGCCTGGGAAGATAATGAATGGCCTCCCCAGCGTATTATAGATTATTATGGGCCAGCCACGTGGGCAGAGGATGGTACCTTTGGTTATAGAACCCCTATTTATATGCTCAACCGCATTATAAGGTTACAGGCGGTGGTTGAGATCATTACTAACGAGACATCACAAGCGCTCAATCTTCTAGCGAAGCATAATACCAGGATGAGGACAGCAGTTTACCAAAATAGATTAGCCTTGGATTATCTTTTGGCAGTAGAGGGAGGTGTATGTGGGAAGTTTAACCTGAGCAATTGCTGTCTTCAAATAGATGACGAAGGGCAAGCAATAGCTGAGCTTACTAGCCATATGGTTAAACTAGCGCATGTGCCTACTCAGGTATGGAAAGGGTACAATCCAAGTAGTTGGTTTGGTAGCTGGTATGAGTGGTTTGGAGGGCTTAAGGCAGTGGTAGGTGGAGTCCTACTGATTTTAATGTTGTGTCTACTCCTGCCGTGTCTTATACCCTTAGTAGTTAGGTCTGTGCAAAGCCTGATAGAAAATATAGCAGAGAGGAAGGCTGCTGCACAGATAATGGCAATTTATAAATATAAGGCTCTAGATCAGGGAGAACTAATGCAGGAAGATGAGTGTTGAAGATTCACATCATAGGATAAGTCTGGTCTGGTTCAAAGGTAACTTGTGGTGTATGTAAACCAAGGTTAAGTGATGCCTCAAGTAATTGTAAAATATCAAGAGGCATCAAAGGGGGGAATGTGGTGGAATCTCGGTAAAAATAAATTTAGTAGGCCGAGATTACCACGTGGCATGTGTACGTGCATATGCTGACGTATCGATCAGTTGGTTGCACGAGGCAAGATACGATCAGTAGTGTACGGAGCATGTGCAAGAATACAGGATGTAGTATTCCCCTCCTCCATTGTGCTGGACAAGCCATGTGGTCAAGCAGGAAGTTAATTCTTATTTGTAATGATTGGTCAAGAGAATGTGCGGGTGGAGCTTAATATGGGAGGAGTTATGTGCCTATATAGGAAGCCTGCACTATTGTTCAGGGCTCAGAACTTGCTGTATTTTTGGTGACATTAGTCCCTCTGAGTCCCGATCGGTGATCCAATAAAGAATCTCTTCCTTCCTGAAGAAACCTGTGTCCATCCCTCTGTGCTTTGCTTCCGTCAGTTTCTCCGGTATCAGTAGTGGTTATTGTGCCTGGATTGTTTCTTTAAATAATCTATGCGTGCCCTTCCCAAGATAAGACTCTGATTCCGCCAGTGCTCCTGTGACCTTCTTTAAGCACTACATAGTGGACGTCACTGCTCCATCTACTTTGTTTGGAAGAGTTCTTTCCTCTGTTTCTCTGTTATCAATCTTTTTTTTTTTTTTTGTATCCTATAGTTGTGCTTTTGTCATTTCTTGCTCTGTTTTGCGTGTTGCTTGGGTATTACCCATAAGTGATGCTGCCATAATTAGGAATAACAAAAATGTGAACCAAACTTAACGTAATTTTCTTTTCCAGGCTATTATTTGTGGCAGCATCAGGCTCCCTACTATTTTTATATATATTTTTTTAACAGACTGATGTATGAAAGGAGAGACCTTTTATACAGGCAGTCTCTATTTCACTGTCTACTGACCTGTTCTGACTGGGCAGGTGGAGCTACCCATAAGTGATACTGCCATGAATAATAACCAAAATGAAAATTATTGTAAGTATGGTTTAAATTTTCCCTATTTGCTGATAGGAAAGCATTAGCAACACTTTAGTTTAAAGGAAAATTTGCACCAAAATAATGGATAACCATCTCACGGACCAATTCATGGCTTTTGTTCATAATGCTATGTAATCCTATCATAAACCATGGTCAGAATGTGTGACTACAACCTAGTTCAGGAATAGGCAACCTTCGGCACTCCAGATGCTGTGCACTACATCCCCCACAATGCTCTCACAGCCATAATACTAGCAAAGCAAAGGCGAGATGCAGTCCAGACCATCTGGAGTGCCAAAGGTTGGACGTTTTATTGTAATTTGAAGTTGATGTCTCGCACGATTGCCCTCCCCCCATCCACTCTCTACCCTTTTTATATTTCTCTTTTATTTTATTTTTATTTGTACTTTAATTTTTGTTCAAGAACATTTCAGATGGGTTTCTTTATTCGTAACATTGTATCAACTGGCTGCAAGGTTTGTCACCTATCCCTGTCTTTAAATAAAGAGTAACAAAACAAAAAAAAAGCCAAATTGGGGAAAACAAAACCCCATGTCAGCTCCATTTATAGTGTGGCTATTTTAGCCTACAATTTGAAATACACCTTCAATTGACCAGCAGTTCAGATTTCAGTGAGTAACTCTGTGGGTTTAGTGAGTAAACCCAGATTTCCTATTCCCAACATAACTTGTAGCAAGATTCCCCAATGTCAAAGCTAGCTCTACAACACAGTGATGGCTGAGAATCACAAAAGGTCTCCAGCCTCTGGACTGCAGTATATAGTGTTACACTGCATTACCAGAGTTCTCCAGCTGGGGGCAATGTTTGCAAAGCGTCAAGGTAGATAGAGTTTCAAACACATGGTTTCAAACACGCTTACGTCATCAGCGTATACCACGCCGGAAGTACGTCAGCGACGCGCCGGATGTGAGCGGTGAGGCCTCACTAGGCACTAGCCGTGGGTTGTTGCTCCGTGAGAGGAGAATCGCTTATTAGGTAGGACCGGCTGGGCCGGGAGTTGTTGGGACAAGGGGGATCCGGCCCCGTTCGCGTGGCTGAGCATTGTGGGAGTCACAATTTAGTGGGTATCTCTTTTTAAGGGCAGAGGATCATGGGAAATGTAGTCCAGAGTAGCCAGGAGTGCGCTTCGCCGGGCTGGTTAGAGATTACTGGGAATGGCAGCCACGGGGGGGGGGAGAGAGAGGACAGAACAGACCAAAACACAGGGAGTGTGCACTGCTGCCGGAGCATGATGGGAATTGTAGTCAGCAGCAGCTTAACCCCTTAAGGACCAAACTTCTGGAATAACAGGGAATGATGGCATGTTACACATGTCATGTGCCCTTAAGGGGTTAACGTGGGACTGTCACCTGTGAGATCTGTTTTGCACTTTGCTCAACCCAATAGGCATCTAAGAAGCAGTTAAAATGTAGAAAAATCTCCCCAGTTTAATTGATCTTAATTCATGTACCTTGCTGGGCATGCACGGCTCCCAGAGTTACTTATGCCTCGTTTCCGTGGATCGGTTCGGTTCGCTATTTTGGGTGTTTCCATTATGCACGTGGTCCATGTAAGCGAACCGTGCCGATCCATTCAGGGACCTGGTTCAGTTAGGGCGGAGCTACTATACAATCCATTGATTGGTGGACAGGAAGAGCATTTTTTTTCTTAACCCTGCATGGCCCCTGAAGGTCTGGCTTGCAGTGGAAATGTTCACGAGAATGGGCTGGACCATTCTAAACCTTCCAAACTGTACCGAACCGATCCGCTTAGTGGAAACGAGGCATTAGTTTATCTCCTGCGGTACCGTGTGCACCATGCCGGTATCTATGGCACCGGCGAAAAATCTTCAGGCGTTTGTTTTGTTGCTGTATACCCAAACTACCATGAGGTAACCAAGAACTATCACTCCCAGAGAAGTGGCAGTTTCTTGTTAATTGTTCCCTATTTTAGATTTTCAAACACCAAGGAAAACTCAGTTTAAAGGTTATCCATCTAAATTTCTCCTTTTTAGCTTGCAGGTTATACTAATTTCACACGCTCTTGGAACCTTACACAGTAAACCACAGGATTGTTTGTTTATACACCAATAATGATCAGTGGGTTAGATACTTTGTAATTGATTAACCAGTATCTTTTGCTGTTTTTTAGGTCGATCCACTCCAAATGGGGGATGAAAAAGACACCTGGAAAGTAAAGACCCTGGACGAAATATTGAAAGAGAAGAAGCGGCGAAAAGAGCAAGAAGAGAAAGCAGACGTGAAGCACACCAAAAATGTGAGATAAATATTTTTGTGGATGTTTTGTTTTATGGTAGAAACATTTTGTTTAAAATGTTCATCACTCTTTTTAACTGACTCCCCGTCCACCCCCCCACAATACTTTGTAACTGCTTTTATCCGGATGCTTTATTTCAAATTAAAGGAACACTCCGGGCACATAACAACTTCATCTAAATGAAGTTGTTATAGTGCCAGGAGAACCCTCGCGCATACCCTTACCTCAAGGGGTTAAAGGGGAAGTGCAGAGTGTTGCTTGTGATTGACTGAGAGCGTTCAGCTGACACTCTCAGCCAATCAGTGACTACCAATGCACGCCAGTTTTGTGAAAAGTTGGTCCCTGATTGGCTGAGAGTGTCGTTTGACCACTATTAGCCAGTCAGCGGCATCCCTGCCCGGCGGCACTCAATGCTTTCTGAAACTGAAATTTCAGAAGCTGGATGCTGACTGGGGTGAGTTGAGATTGGAGGCACCTTTAGGGATTGAGAAAGGTTTAACCCCTTGAGGCCTCCTGGCACGATAACTTCATTTAGATCAAGTTGTTATGATGCATAAACTCTCTTTAAGCCACTTTGACCCAGCTTAATTGAGAGAAGTTTGGCTCACATATATGGATGAATATCTGCTTCTGAAATTAAAATTGTGACAAATGGTATTATGAGTAACAAGAAAGAAGACCCAAAATAGATTCATATTTGTCTAGGTTCTCAGGGTATTCATCAATTGTTTCCAGTTTCTGAGCTCTGTGTAAAAGTCACATGTCTTTAACCCCTTAAGGACCAAACTTCTGGAATGAAAGGGAATCATGACATGTCACACATGTCATGTGCCCTTAGGGGGTTAAAGTTTGGCATGACTATAATTTTAATAGCATTCATCTTTTGCAGTTTTGCCTGGGAAAAGCAAGTTAATCTTTAGCTGGTTATGTGAGAATTTGCTGCATTATTCAAATAGCTTGTGTCTTCATTTTGTGAGTTATGGGGAACCACTTGTTTTTTGCGTATTGGCTGCCTTTGGGATATATTGGCTTTTTGTAATATTTTGGATTTTTGTAATATTGGTCTTTCCCCCACTTTTTATCTTTTTGCCTTTATTAGGCTGATGACCGTGATTCTAAAAGAGATTCTTTAGAAGAAGGTGAACTCAGAGATCACAGGATGGAAATAACAATAAGAAATTCACCTTACGGACGACAAGATTCTATGGAAGATAGGTATAAATATCAATGTCTCTTTGCTTGATCTTTCAATACAGCAGATGTAATCAGTATTAAAACAGTTTGTGGTGGTGTTTTTTTTTTTTTCACCTTTCTCTTTTATTGAACTTAGTTGGTATCACAACCTTTTACGCACTTAATGATAACACTAGCACCTTCCAGTTACATGAGTAAAGCTTTTACTGGGATACTCAAATTAATAGACTTCATTCCAGAGGCATGAAAAAGGAAAGAGCATCCATGATTTTTTATTTTTTTCTCCATTGAGTTATCTTTGACAAGACAGCCTCATATTTGTTCTGAGTACCTTTTGAATTGGGTTTTCATCGCATGTATGGCATTTCATCCCATTTTCCCCTGAATCCTCCAAGGCATTGTCAACGTATCCCTACCAGCTGGTCTCTCTGGATGGTTCCTTACCACATTACTGGTGATTAGACCACTGTAGTATTTTAAGTGTTTTGACAAATAATGGGCTCTGACATAAAAAGCCCTTTTACTTCTAAGGTAATGTGAATCTTTCTCTTCTGCATTATCCAGGTGACATATTTCTTTATTTTCCATGTGCTTCTGCTTGTTATTTCACAAAATTGTAGACAATGGAAGCGTTTATTACAGGGACACTATAGTCACCTGAACAACTTTAGCTTAATGAAGCAGTTTTGGTGTATAGAACATGCCCCCGCAGCCTCACTGCTCAATCCTCTGCCGTTTAGGAGTTAAATCCATTTGTTTATGAACCCTAGTCACACCTTTCTGCATGTGACTTGATCAACCTTCTATAAACACTTCCTGCAAAGAGAGCCCTATTTAGTCTTTCTTTATTGCAAATTCTGTTTAATTAAGATTTTCTTATCCCCTGCTATGTTAATAGCTTGATAGACCCTGCAAGAGCCTCCTGTATGTGATTAAAGTTCAATTTAGAGATTGAGATACAATTATTTAAGGTAAATTACATCTGTTTGAAAGTGAAACCAGTTTGTTTTTTTTCATGCAGGCTCTGTCAATCATAGCCAGGGGAGGTGTGGCTAGGGCTGCATAAACAGAAACAACGCGATTTAACTCCTAAATGACAGTGAATTGAGCAGTGAAATTGCAGGGGAATGATCTATACACTAAAACTGCTTTATTTAGCTAAAGTAATTTAGGTGACTATAGTGTTCCTTTAATTTGGGTTTACATAGGAAATACATATATTTTTGTTTACATTTTTAGGGGTGAAGAAGATGACTCTTTAGCTATTAAACCTCCTCAACAAATGTCCAGAAAAGAGAAATCACACCACCGAAAAGATGAGAAAAGGAAGGAGAAACGCAGGCACCGGAGCCATTCTGCTGAAGGAGTTATTGGAGGTACGTAGTTTTATTATTGTAATTTCAATGCTTTATGTAGGCAACCTTTTTTTGTGTGTTTGTTTTTAGCAGCACAACCTTACTCTTCATCAGCAGAATGGAGTTCAGTGATGTTATGAAGGCAGTTTTGCTGCTCTAACTCATAACTTATGTTGTTTAAATAATCATTCTGATTCTATTAATCATAATATCCATATCCACAATCTAAGCAAAATATTCCTCCTTTTTCTAATGCATACACTGTATGCTTCTTGTCTTTCCTTCCCAACAAAGCATTTTGTTTTCTGTTTTACACACCACACACCTTTTTGTATGACTTCTTTTTATAGACTATAAGCTCTTGGTCAGAGCCCTTAAAACTTGTTACATTAATCAGTTTTATTGTTATTCCCTTCACCCATTTTCTCTTGCACTTTGTCAGCACAATGCAAATAGATGATTATCATAATATGGAGCAAATCGTTCATGATGGGTTACTCTCCTCATTTCTTTTTAAGACTATCAGAACATCTTGCAAAACAAAATGCAGGCTTTTGGTCGTTTACTTATTCCCTTTTAATTATGGACAGATTTGGAAATACAAAAGTATTTAACGTTAATACTTTGCAATAAAAATGTCATGGTGAGTGAGGTGTAGTGTAGATTTCTTCAGTATTCTACAAAGAAAAAATTATATTTTAAATTTCATTAGAATGTTGGTAACCTTATAATTTAAGATGTACCAGAGCCATATTTCTAAGTTGTATGAAATGCCTTCCTGATCGTAAATGGCATTGCTGAATCATAATGCTGTATATATCATTGCATCAGTATGCAAAACTGCTTTGTCCATTTGTAAATACCATCTTTATGGAAGAGTAGGTATACTTATGGATTTTATATATTTTTAATACCTACATTTACAGGTGAAAAAATCTGTACCTACCGAAATTTGACTGTCTTCCATGTCTCGGGTGTTTTAACTTTGTCCAGTATTTTGCTTCATTCCTGTCTTCAGGCAGCCTTTTGTTCTGAACAAATAGATTTAGTCATGCTTTTTAAATAAATGTAGCTAGCTGTGTACTTTTCCTTTAAAATGTAGTAACTGTGATACATGCCTACAAAGCCCTCCCTTAAATAGCTATGATAACTCAGAATTGCCCAAGCCTGTTCCAGATCTGCTCACTGCAGATGTTGCAATTTTATTTTTCGGTATACTGCATTATGTTTTGTTAATATTTATGCAGCCATTTTAGATAGATTACAGGAACACTATAGGGTCAGGAACACAAAACTGTATTCCTGTCCCCATAGTGTTAAAATCACTATCTAGTCATCTAAATATAGTAAAATCGTACCTTTATTCCAGTATTCTGCTGCTTGCTCTGCTCCTGATCTGCCTGCTTGACTGACATCATCAGAAGTGGTCATCTGAGCTAATCACAATGCTTTCATATTGGATTGGCTAAGACTGTCAAGGAGGCAGATCAGGGGCAGAACCAGCACCAACCAAACACAGCCCTGGCCAATCAGCATCTCCTCACAGAGATGCATGGAATCAATGCATCTGTATGAGGAAAATTCAGTGTCTCCATGCAGACGGCGGAGACACTGAATGTCAGTCACACTGTGCAGCACTGCCTCAGGAAACATCTCTATTGGCCATCTGAGGAATGGCCAGTGGAGGTGTCCCTAGGCTGTAATGTAAACACTGCATTTTCTCTGAAAAGACAGTGTTTATTGTAAAAAGCATGAAGGGACGGACTATTCTCACCAGATCAAATACAATAAGCTGTAGTTGTTCTGGTGACTATAGTGTCCCTTTAAATCATGCATTACATAGCAAGTGCTGCCTATGTTTAATAAAATTCTGAAGAGAGCTGTTAATTTATTAATCAGGCAAACATGTTCGCTCCAAAGAGAAAGAAAGAGAACACGACAGGAGGAAGAGACACAGAGAAGAGCAAGACAAGGCCCGTCGTGATTGGGAGAGACAAAAAAGGAGAGAGATGGCTAGAGAACATTCTAGGAGAGAACGGTAAGAAACAGCTGAGAATCCATTTAAGAATGTCATAAACCAATAAATTGCTATATTTAGAGAGAGTAAAGCTCCAACATAAAGATGATAACCATTAGTTTAAGAGTTTGTTGTAGAGTGTTGCCCCCTAGTCATTTTTTTTTCTTGCATATTTTTTTGTTTTGGCAAACAACTTTTAGGCACTTTTGGGTAAAACTTGTTCCACCCTGGCACCCTTTAAAGCCTCACTGGCCACTCCGTAAATTATACCTTTCCATAATTCATATAAAACTGTACAATCTCAGATGGCAATGATAGGCTGCGTGTGCTGGATCAAATGGGTGGAGCTGCCCTCGTGTGCTCTCTCTAAAACCAGATACCTCCTCTATAATTTACATATATATTTGTAAATGTGTTTGTGCCTTTAAATGTTGATTTCCGTATTGAGAATGAAGGATTTTAATTTGTGGTAGAAGAATGAGAACCTCTGGTATGCTACGTAAGAAAATCACCTATATCAGTGTGTTTTCATTAAACCAGATAAATGTCAGCTAAGATAAACCCAGAAATGTTTTTTTGCTGGTTATTCCCATTATATTTTTATTTACCTTGACCATTAGAACATAAATGCTAGCTAATGCAATACATATGTACTGCTGCATTAGGTGCTGTAAGAATTATTTTAGTATGTGAGGGCTTGCCAGTAGATTAGGATGTAATCAGCACCTTCTTCTGATCCTCAGACTGTAACACTTTGTAATAAGTAAGGCATAAGTGGACTATAAAAGAAACAAGCTCTATCAGAATGATGTGCTTTTATGTTTACATTGAGCTTGAATGACTGCCTGCAAAGGTATAAGTGAAATGTTATTATGTGACTAGTATCACTGCTGATTATAATTTTCCCCCTCCCCCCCCGTCCAGCATTTTTGTAAGCTGTCTCATTTTACAGTAACATTGAAATGTACATTTTGCATCTATCAGTTTATGGTTTCTGTTTTTGATAAAAAAAACAAAAAAAAAACATATAGATTAAAATAAAAGTGATTTAAACATTATTTTAACTTAGTGGTTTGTGTGTTGTTTCTAAATCTTCTGTAGCTATAATGGTGGTGGATGTGTTAAATGTTACTGGTCTGACTATTATAATTTACTACAAAGTGCACGTGTGTACTTTTTAATCTTTAAAAGTGTTTGCAGGGACCGTTTGGAGCAGTTAGAGCGTAAACGCGAGCGAGAGCGGAAAATAAGGGAACAGCAGAAAGAACAAAGGGAGCTGAAAGAGAGAGAAAGGAGAGCGGAGGAGAGGCGCAAGGAACGTGAAGTCAGACGAGAAGGTACCAAGCCCAGCCCGTTTACTTTTATGATGCACAAGACAGTGGCTCTTGGCCTCTAAGTTGCAATATGGCCCTTAAGAATGCCCATTTGATTGCAGGAAGTTGTAATGCTGGAATAGGCTTTTAATAGCTGAATTACCTTTGCACATGTGAAACAAGCCAATTGACCTTACCAAAGCCACAAGAAAGCCAGTCTAGAACGGTGTTTCTCAAAAATCTTGTACCCAAGTACCATTAGTGACATGTTACCAGTCTCTCCATGAGAACATTTTCAGTTAAGGTTGCTCATTTCTGAAATGAAGCGTAAAGTAAATAGCCAGAATTACCCCCATGTGATTCCTTTAGCACAGATAAAGAAATTGTGCTCTCTATTACACACATTCTGTGGTTGGGCTGATCTCCTTTAACACCGTAGACAACCTTTTAATCACGTTTCTACCGTCCCTGTGTACACATGGTGGCCCAATTCATCTGCTTCAAAAAAAAACGGTCTATATGTGGGATGAGTTTCAGATTGCATTTCTGAAGAAATTATAAAAATCCATTACATGCTTTCCGTGGAGAAAGAAAGCAATGAAAAGTGGATGGTGACTTTATTTGCTAATGCAAGACCTGTTATTTGTGGTACTTGGTTATCAAGAGGTGTATATAATCTGACTTTCATCAGTATTTTCTGTAGTGGTGGAACCTATTTTAAAACTGTACGGTTCTGAAATTTCACTTGGATATACTGTATTAAGTAAGGGTGGCTAAAAAACAAACATCCATTTTGTTAAATATGGAAAAACATGGCGCACACAGTATTATCTTGTGGCATTCTCATAGTTTGAGAAATGCTTTGTGTATTCGATCCTATTTGCAGTACGTTTTCCCCAACTGTTTACTGTTGCTAAACTGGTTAATTTGTGTGCAATCAGACTTGGTTCACATTAGACTGTAGTGTCGGCGTACTTTGCCCAGTGTGATCAAGGCACAAATGCATTCTGCTGTTTTGAAATGAACAATGTTTCAAAGGAATGTGCATTTTAAGTAATTGAGTTTAAACAGAAAAAGAGGGTTTTATCGTTTTCCTTCAGGTCAACAAATTTAATGACTTACATTTAATTACCTTAAATTTTGTGAACTGTGCTGTCTGGCGTTGATTTGTATTCCCTGTTGTGTGACCATGAGCCTTGGTTTTGTGTGCAGGTCAGACACAAATAATAAAAATATTACCTAGATTTCTACTTCTGGAAAGGAAGACCGTTCCCTTAAATGTACTGGAATCAAATGTAAACTAGTTCTCCACATGACCTTCTTTAATTGAAAACATTTCAAAGTGGATCAGATGACAAATCTAATTTAGCAGAATATAGGATAGTATATTTATTTTGCCACAAGCAGCAATGTTTTTTCAGACACTCTATATCAAGACCACAAGCTTGAAACTGCTAATGTAGAAAATCCTGCAAAGACACAATTTGACACATCCACTGTCGTGTGCAAACAACCCGACAGAAAGAACACCACATAAAAAGGAGTTTGGTGCCCTCTTTTAGCAGACCTTGTAAACTAGTGGCTCGCACCCTAAGCCTCAGTGTAATATTTTTGGATAAGCTTTACAAATGATTTAGAATATAGAATAAAATATCATGAGGAAATATGATTAGCTGATAGCATGGCTATCACTGATCAATATATTACTATGGCAATTGTGCTGTGTGCGTATGCAATATAGGAATAGGCGAGTAGACATTCACCAGGTAGTTCTATTGGTATAGGACTTGAATCCAGATCATATGAAGAATAATGTAAACAAAAAACTTAAAAGATTACAGATGGAGACAAGAAAGTGTGTGTATATATATTGCTGAAGAGCTGAGTCCCACAATTGGAGAGTCTGAACTTAGTGGCCTGATAAATAACTTTAGTCTATTCCTGATCTTGGAGAAGGCCTCCAATGATGCCTCCGTTCTTTAAACACCAGCTACAATCCATTCTGAGTCTCAGTAGATTTTAATGTTCATGGACCCCACTTTCTCTGGAGCGTTGGCCGATGTCCACAGGTCAATTCACACAGCTCACATCCAACTTGCGGGAGTGTGAGCGAGAAACACCCAGTGGTTATGGACTAAGTCCAGGTCAAATACCTTGTGTGGCTCCAGGCCCAGGTGGGACTCGATACTCTGTGGTTGAACCAAATGTTCTCCCCGTGCCATTGCTCTTGGTGGGTGTTTATTGAGGTACTGCCAGAATTGGGTGCATAATATGTCAAATTCCTATAGGAAGGTCACTCTCCGATAACACTGCAACTACTGTACCACAATCTATACAGACTTTTGTCCAGCTGCTGTCTTTGGTGAGTAGCAATTACGTCAACTCTTAGTGGCTTCAATAACGATGACTCCTATGGAGATGAAGCCTCCCCATGGTCCAAAGGAGGGGGGAGGAAAACCCACTTGTACGTGCCATCTCTCCCATTCTCAGAGTGCACTAGACCTCGCAGCTCTGGTTTCCTGTGCTGGTGACCCCAACTTTGCATTGGAATTGTCATGCTAGAGCACCTTAATATGCAGGAGTAGGTAAATACTGGGTGTAACGTTTTTGAAATAATGCACTTAAATATCAGAAATTAAGGAGGTCCCTCAGAGCACTTCTGACTGCCTGGCGTTCAACTGCCACCCCGTTGGGTTAACATTTAAAATATTTTCCCCAAACTATTAAAATATCAAAACATTCTTTATATAAAAGTACATAAATATATCAAAATATTGAAAAAAAAGTTTCAAAATAATAAATCATTTGAACAGCTTATCCAAAAAGGCTCAGTGACTGTCCAGGATTTAAGCCTTTCCCAATTCTTTTCCACTGGGGATACTAGATCATTGGTATGCCCTGCAAATTGAGAAGGCATTCACCACTGTAGACCCCAATTTATTTTTATTATAATGTATATATATTTATTCTTTTGTTTCCTTTTGTCCTTTATTTGAAAGCTGTGTGCGAAACTTGGAAATATCTTCTGGCTATGTTGGGCATCATTGTCCATCAATGATGACTACCTACTGGAGTTTCAAGAATTAGCTTCCTTCAGTGTTTGCATCATTTGTTGATTTTATACAGCACATTAGATCTTTTCTGATGTTATTCGATCTTTTCTCTGCTGTAGTGGGGCTATGTATATAGACAGCTGAATCTAGTGCCCATATATCCATAGTTTCCCCAGTACTAATCATACATCACTCAGTGTTTTTAGTGTCTCCCCATTAAACCACTGAATGATGGAACATATATATGGGCCAACATAGCCTCCAAGTAATATAAATATATATACATATGCAAAAAGACAGTGAGGCTTGTACTCTTTAAGATTTTCTGTGAAAATAAAACTTTAATTTCAAACATAAATATTTAATTATGTTTATTTTTTTTAGAAACTCCTAGAGTGCTATCCTCCCTGTCTTTGTGTATAGCAATTTGCTGAATTAAACACTAGGCGTATAGGTATTGTTAAGCTTACCTTTTGAGTGCAGATTCTACTATATATATTCTAACCGTTTTACCACTGCAACATTATAAATGCCAAGGGCATTTGTTAGAATTTTAACCCCGTAGAATACGTTTTTGAAGTCTTTAAAGAGTCATCTTGTGAATCCAACCTTTGGGCCCCTAGTTGGAAAATTGCAGGGGGCATTCGACAATGTATTCAAAGAAATTAAGAAAGAGCTCTGTTGTGGATATGCCCAGTGGCCATCAAATTTGCAGTTACCTCCTCCCAAGTTTAGACAGCCCCCACACACCATCTTTGTTGTAATCGGAAAGGCCTTTGTATACTTTATCCTAGCCTCACATTAATAAGGGAAAAATCTCATTAGTTGAAGCTGAAATGTTCAGTAACATAGTCTTGCTGCTCCGGTACACATTTCTCTTTAATTTCAGGGAGAAGTCTCCTAGTCTCTGTAAGCCCTATATTTAAACGTTAAAATAGAAAGTTGGCAATGTGTCCGGGTTCAATTTTGGAGGTCAGTCTATGCAGCGTGAGATATGTAATTAATTGGCTAAATTAGTTTGCAGCTCCTACAGCAGCTAATTGAGTCAGATGAGATTTTTTTTTTTACAATGACATAAATCATTTAGACTAGAGAAGTTATGGCTATTCCTTGGCACTGCATTTGCTTTGAACTATATTTACCATTATGTTTGGCCAGCATCTGCAGTACTAAAGGTGAGCCTCTAGTGAACAAATAAAATACCTTTGCCACTTTGTACTGTAAACAAAAAAAGGAAATCTTCAGTCCTTTTTAAGAGAACTAAGCTTTCATTTCCTAAAGTAGAAATGTATTTCAAATATATGCCACTAGGGGGCGCCAGTGCACAAAGTAATGCTTTTTCGTTTAATTTGCAAAGTGAACGCCTTGATTGCATTTTAATGACTTTATAGTTTGAAAGTGTGAAGACCTTTCCTGCCATGTGGTTTAGTGTACCAATCTGTACAACATGCCTTCCAGGGCTCGCAGGATCTGCGCTTCCTATGCGCAGGAAGCCAGGGCTCTTGCAAGAGAGTGAGAAAATGCAGTACAGTGCACAGTTTGCAGATGCAAGAATTCTTGTAGAGTTTAGCACTCAAAGTAAGTTTTGGCTTTTTAAACCATTTCCATAGCAATATCCTTGTAGAAATCCAATCCTGTACTGCATTGTGCCTTCTTAACCCCTTCAATGCAAGAAGAGCCAGCACCTCCCCACAGACATGAATGCACACTCTCTCACTTGGCACCAAATGGTCTCTAGCTTAACACAGAAAAGTGGAAGCCATACACAGTCTCCCCCCACCTCTCTCTTTTCTCATCTTTTGTTACTTACTTTTCCACTAAGTGTTTGTTCTGTTACCCTAATCTTTGTACTTGGATCTCTACAATTCCAAGTATTTCTCACCTTATCATGAAGGAGACTTGGCACATGTGCTTATCATTTTTTTTTTTCTGAGGTCAAATCAATATTTTTACGTTAATTTCCTAGGCCAGGGTCGGTAACGTTCAACTCTCCGGATGTTGCAGACCAGATTTTCCCCTGCAATAGCAGCTGTAAGAGTTTTAGGGAAGAAAGTCTACAACATCGGGAGCGCCAAAGGTTGCCTACCCATGTCATATGCGTTTCACAATTCAATCTGCCTAGGCTTAAAAGTGCAGTATATTTTGGTGGCCAAGATGCAATGAACTGCCTATGCTCTTTTTAGTTTTCCTATTTCTTCTCATTGGTCATTGTAACAACAAGAAGCCATGCTGAACTCTGTTTTAAGAACTCTGTTTACCGGAAATGATCCTTTCTTAGCAATGTGTAATGTACTATGAATGTGTTAATCTCCAGATTCCTACCCAATGAAAAAAAAAAAAAAAGTTTAAATAAAAAAATCAAACTAAAGGGGAAGTCTTATGGTAAACCTAACATGCTGCTGAACTACAGCTCCCTTAATTCTCTGGCCATCTATTGCTGAACTGTATACTGTATCAACATTTAGAAGACACCGTATAAGACCCTGGTTCTATGCCCATCAGATTCTGCGTAGTGTAGCATTGGCAATGTGTGTGTTTTTCCTTTTTTTTGTAATCATCACTTAAGCGTCTCATCTTCACTTATTGTTTGGGCAATGAAGCTTACACTGTCTGATTTCCTTATGGGAGTGTCTCTTTTCACATGTAAAAGTCGAATTTTAGCTTTACAAGTCAAATAGTGCACAGTCCTTTATTATGTGAAAGAGGAAACCTTGCTGTTTTTCCAGAATTGTGATGAGATCAGAGCTTTAGACACAAATAAGTAAAGGCTGCATCAGTTAATACCATTCATTATGACGAAACTTGGTCTCTGTATATCTTAATTAAAGTCCACCTTTACATCACGACACTGGTGCAGCATTGTCAATAGTATTGTGTAATTTGGACTTCTCCTTTTAAGTTTTCTCTTTTGTTTGTAGGCTCTACATATACTAATATCTTTCCAGTCCAATATTGCTGTATTTGCATTTACAAAGTTTAGCAAGGCTTCATGCATCTGGGGATCTACCTTTAGGACACCCCTGCTTTAAGGGAATAATATATATAGTTTTGATTTAGATGTAACTTTTAGAGTTATTTTATTATTTATATAGCGCTGTACAATGGGATCTGCACATTTTTATTTTGACGTCCCTAAACAAACTGGAAAGAAATGTGACACGGGAGACTTGACTCCACCTGTCCTTCCCAGACTTCTATGTTTTAATTTTCTCTAATCTCGTATTTTAGGTTAGAAATATTTGTATTCAGTTTTAATTTGAACAACAAGTCCATGAACGTTGAACAAATTGTGGTGGAAATTGTTGTAAAAGTGCTTCAAGATGATGCAGAGAGAGACCCTATTAATGGTGTTCTCTTTGGGCTGCATTTTTCTTATAAAACAAGCTGTAAATGAGATGTTCGCTGTATAAATTGTTGACCTAGATAACTGCTGGGCTACCCTTAAGGAATCCTGTTCCCTGTTTGACAGAATTTAACATGTATCTACTCTTGACTTAGATTATGCAGTAACCGTTTCTGCCAAAGGAGCACAGGGGATGTCTTATGGTGCAGTACATCAGTTAGAAACAGAAGAGAATAGAAAGGTCCAATTAATTTCCTAAATATGTAAAAATTAGCCTGGCAAGATTCCTTAAAGGGACATGTCATTGAAGTGGTCTGGGTGCAGTTTCCCTGTCCCATTAACCTTGTAGCTGTAAACATTGCAGTTTTCATTGCACTGCTAAGACTGCCTCCAGTGGCTGTGTACCAAACCGCAACCAGAGGGTGCTCCCTGCTGTTTCATGGAATTTAACGCTGGACGTCCTCACGCTTATGTATGAGGATGTCCAGCACCTTCTAAATCCCAATAGGAAAGCACTGATTCAGTGGGAATCCTTAGAATTATCTTTTTATATACTTCCTGTGTATTGTGGTTAGCAAAACCAGCATGTATTCTATATTTTCTGCCTCTATTCCAATCTTTAGCACTCATGAGTAAAAAGACTGAATGTGCTGTTACTATCTCTGTTTGGTCAGTTTAGTTTTTGCAGGGAAGCATGTAACATTCTGTATTTGTGTGTCTCAACTTATATAAAGAGTGTGCACACACACAATACTTTGTCCTGTGCATAGGATCGAACTGATTTCTTTGGTTTTTACAAAATTAGTTTGGTTTGTCAATAGCCGTGAAGCAGTAAAAGGCTGACTGAGTACCTGGGGAAACTAACCAAATTGTGGACTCTACGTGTCCCGAAGCATTGCACCACAATCTAATCAATTCATGTATTCTTTTCCTGCATTTTGCAGCTCATGTCAACTCACCTTATTAATACTGCTTTGATCCCCTACCCTTACATATGCTTTCTTAATACCCAACTGCCAGTTTGTGAGAGCTATTCTATAAAATATCATGTAATAGACATCAGTAGGATAAACAGAGCACTAACCTGCGAGGAAGGACCCTGACTGCCAGTTTGGTCATGTTAAAGGAACACTATAAGGTAAGGAACACAAACATGCATTCCTGACCCTATAGTGTTAAAAACACTATCTGCCCCCCGCCCACCCCGTTCCCCTAAATATAGTAAAATCTAACCTTTATTCCAGTCTGCTGCTGCTGGCTCTGCCACTGACCTGCCTCCTTGGCTGACATCATCAGAAATTATATGCATAGAAATGGATTAGATTGGCAGAGATTGTCAATTCTGATGATCTCAGCCAAAATGGTGGGCTGGGGTGGAGCCAAACGCTGTGCAGCACCTCTAATAGCCATCTGAAGAGTGGTCAGTATGGAAGTGGAAGTACCCCTAGGCTGTAATGTAAACACCACCTTTTCTCTGAAGACAGTTTTTACTGCAAAAAAAAAAGCCGAAAGGCAATGATTATACTAACCAGAACAAATACAATAAGCTACAGTTGTTTTGGTGAATATAGTGTTCCTTTAAAGATGAGTCATGGGTTTAATGTAATGGATATTAATCTATAGCATTGATGTCTCTACTGCATTATACATGTCCTTTCAATGTCCTCCGTTAATCTAGTTATTGTCTTTAGAAACCTTGTTTCCAGCATGAAGATACAGTGAGAACACCTCACAACAAAAAAAGCCCCATCTTGGAAATTAGCTTCTGCCATCACGTGAGGCTCCAGCACTCCACCGTTCAATGTTTTCTTAGAGCTTCTAAAGTTTGAAAATTTACACCATTTTCAGAAAATATCCTGGGATTTTTGAGAAATAAGTGCACCCCCAAGTGGACCAGTAGCCTTTAACCCCTTAAGGACACATGACATGTCATGATTCCTTTTTATTCCAGAAGTTTGATCCTTAAGGGGTTAAAGGCTGAGAATGCAGTTGGTGACTCTCTGTTCATGAAGACATGGCCCAGTTTTTTGTATTCTTTATATTGCACCTTGTGTATATATTTCTCCATGTATCTGTTTACTATATAAATATGACTCTGTCAATGTACAAGAAGTGATTGCTTACTGAGCCAGGGTAACTGACCCCTAAAGCACATTTTTTTCTCAAAATTCCTATATGAACAGAACTTTGTCTGCTCTAATAAAATAAGTGTTCACATTATATTAATGGCAACTTTATCAAAAGTCTTTCTTGGCATTCTGTATGCACCAAGCATTGATTGATTGTAAAAACTAAACAAGATAGATTAATATGAAAATAACACATTAACAAGTGGCCCCTGCCTTTTCTCTAAGGTCATCATATTGTAAAGTCTGCAGAAAGCTAATACATAATGAAAAGCCTCCTGGCAATCTAAGTAGCAAGTGTCGTGGTTTGTGATTACAGTGAAGGCAACAAGATACCTTAAGATCCTTCCATGCAACATACAGAAGAACGGTTCTCAAACTGCAAAGGAGACCAATATGGGGATCCAAGAAAACCTAATTTAATCGACCTTAATAAATAACCTTTTTGTAGTCACAAGGGGCTGGGCACTTTGCCAAACCAACCTCTGGCAGCAAAATGGTTAATTGAAGTTTAGTCTTGAGGGGGGAGAGGGAAGGGGGGAGAAAGTGCAGCATCTGATTATATATTCATATTTTCATGTGTGATACTTATATATTTTATTTTTTTTTCTCTGCGCTGACTTTTCGTCACCAGTGGCAGCTCACCATCGAACGGCCCGAGAGGAACATGGAGAAAAAAATAAAGAGTACCGCAGTCGTAGTCCTATGAGACAGCAACGTGAACGATTAGACGGAGATGGGAGAAAGCTAGGTTAGTAGCGGGAGATTCTAATCTGTCTTTTTGATCACCTATCACGGTTATTAAAGGAGCACTATAGGGTCAGGAACACAAACATGTATTCCTGACCCTATAGGGTTAAAACCACAATCTAGCCACCCTGAGCCCCTCATGCCTCCCTAAATATAGAAATTTTACTTGTATTCAAGCCTGGAGCTGCTTACTGTGTCACTGTTTCCTTTAGACCTGCCTGCTGACAGCAGCAGAAGTGGTAGCCTGATCCAATCACAATGCTTCCCCATAGGATTGGCTGAGACTGACAGGGGCGGAGCCAGCACAATTCAAACACAGCCCTGGTCAATCAGCATCTCCTCATAGAGATGAATTGAATCAATGAATCTCTATGAGGAAAGTTCAGTGTCTGCATGCAGAGGGAGGAGACACTGAATGTTTGGATGCATTTTAGGCAGCCATGACCCAGGAAGGATCTCTAACAGCCATCTGAGGAGTGGCCAGTGAAGTTATCACTAGGCTTTAATGTAAACACTGCATTTTCTCTGAAAAGACAGTTTACAGCAAAAAGCCTGAAGGTAATGATTCTACTCACCAGAACAAATTCAAATAAGCTGCAGTTCTTCTGGTGACTATAGTGTCCCTTTAACTTAAATTTAAGGCCAGAGTAGCATAGTTGAAAGCATATGTGATTTAGAGGATTTTTCCAGTTTGGCTACCTTGAATTTGAAATTCATTTAGAATTCTCATTTTATTAAATAACCCTGTAAATGTTTTAGTTTTTTTTTTTTGGAGGGGGGTTGGGGGAGTGGTACTTTTTTTATCATCTTCTCAAAATCCTTTACCATGCCTTCAGAATGACTGACAAACCTCAGCTTAACTGTTTGAAAACCATTCGTTTTGTACAAATGGTCCTGTTGCATTTTCGAAAACCAATCCTTCCCTCAAGAAAGTATTTCCTTATTTTTAAATGTGGATGGTGTCTGCTCCCTGTGACCTTTCTACTGACATAACCATGTAACCCGTGTAGTGTTCCATTTCGGGCCTATCTTCCTAATTTCATATATTAATATTTCATGGTTTCTTTACTCAGGGAAAGAGGAGCGACCTGATCAGAGGGACCCCTTGTCGGACTTGCAAGACATCAGTGACAGTGAACGGAAAACCAGCTCGGCGGAATCATCCACAGGTATCTTGCGTTCTAACCTACCCTGTTATTATTTCATTTGTTACTTGGGGCACATTCATCAAATATTTAGTATTTTGAGAAGAAACTGGGGATATCTACCTTCATATGGTGTGTCTTCTTTCTTTAAGGTTTTTTTGTAAACGTGTAAGTTTTCTGACACCCAGCAGTGACCAATGATGACAGTCTTTTCAAAGACATGTATTCACAAATCTGTCTGCTGAAATGTGAAGTAGATTGATATTTAGATTATTGACAATTTTCATTACTCCATGTGTCTAAATCTCAGTTTTATTCTACAGATCAATGACAGTGAATGTATTTTAGCATGCATATCTGATTAAATATAATCGAAAAAAAATAAAATAATGCCCATTAATGCTCTTCTCCCCACCCCTCCCGATAAATGCCTGCTTTCTTAATGAGGTTAATCATACCATTCTATCTCCTTGTGTTTATTAATTGTCCCTGATGTTTTCTGTATTTTTGACTTGTGACGAGTGCACTGATAATCACCACCTGTCAAGTTTACCATATGCTAAAATATTCTAAATTGATAGGATAGTGGGCAGACTCAGTGTGGGAGCTAGGTCCCACATCTAGCCTTGTAACTTACATAAAAATGATCAAAGGTAAACTAAAGGCACTTTTATGTTTTGGTGGGCTAGACTAACAGAACATATTTTGGGGGATATTACTGCAGAAGAATAAATCAGGTTTACGAAATTCGCAGCAAAAATTTAATGTCCTTCAAAAGAGAATTTGAATTGCAATTTGCTTGTAATAAAATGACTTAATTGAAAGTGTCAAAAGTTCCATTGGTACATACTTTGGTGTGTCTGTATTGTTTAGAAAATATATTATTTTGTTAAGAAATATTTAAGTTCATTGAAAAGTGTTGAACATAAATATCCAACATAACAAAATTTTAAAATTTACAGTTTTTTAAGAGTACATTAAAGGGACACTCTAGTAACCAGAACTACTACTACAGCTTAAAGGACCACTATAGGCACCCAGACCACTTTAGCTTAATGAAGTGGTCTGGGTGCCAGGTCCATCTAGGATTAACCCTTTTTTTTTTTTTTATAAACATAGCAGTTTCAGAGAAACTGCTATGTTTATAATATGGTTAATCCAGCCTCTAGTGGCTGTATCTTGACAGCCGCTAGAGGCGCTTGCGTGCTTCTCACTGTGAAAATTATAAATGCTTTCCTATGAACTGGCTGCGCGCATTCTCCTGCCGCGCATTCAGCCGATGACGTTGCTATGGAGGAGGAGAGCTCCCTGCTCGGCGTTGGGGGAAAGATAAGATTTTAACCCCTTCCTCTCCCCAGAGCCTGGTGGGTGGGGGCACCCTCAGGGCACTATAGTGCCAGGAAAACGAGTATGTTTTCCTGGCACTATAGTGGTCCTTTAATATAGTGGCTCTGGTGTTTATAGCCTGTCCCTGCAGGCTTTTCAGAGAAAATGCAGCGTTTATATTGTAACCGCCTAGGACTAACTTCCACTAGAGGTGCTTCGTGTGTCAGTGTCTGCACGGAGTCCCTGAACATTCCTCGTAGAGACACACTGATTCAACGCATCTGCATGTGGAGATGCTGATTTCGGGGGCGTTTAGCTGCACATGTGCATTAGCCTCCCAGTACTTTCCAAAGAGAAAGCATTGGATTGGCTGATATCATCAAGACAGGTTAAATTTTTTTATATATATATATATATATATATATATATATATATATATATATATATATATATATATATATATATATATATATATATATATATATATATTTTTATCTACATCTTCTTTCTTATGCTTTCCACACCCACTCTAGGGGGACAATGATCTAACCAGTCAGTGTCTTATCCCTAGGAATTCTAGATAAGTGCATTGGGCATGCCTTACAGATTTACACATGTGCAGTTGGCATATCTATTCACCCTGCAGTATCTGACAAAGGGAGAAGAGAGGGAGTCTGATCAGTGTGATTCATACAGAGCAAGCTCCTGTGTCGGATATCTCTCCCCCTAAGAAACTCCCTTAGATAAGAGATGTTCCCATCAGCATATCCCTTTAAATTATGACGGCATGTTTCTTCTTTGTTATTTAACATGTAATATAAACAAACATTTATAAAGACAGAGAAAACAGGATAGAATTAGTATAAAAAGGTATAGGTGAAAATGGAGAGTCCGTCCGCACCTAGAGTAGATTCCACTATAACATTCTCTGTAGGTAGATGAGGGGTTCACTCCTCTATCTCTGTGGGTAAGTGCTCTCTGTTTTGCATTTAATGTGGATAAGATCCACTATTTAATGGATTTAGTGCTGCAGTTTTAGTTGCAGGTGAAAAACTTCTTTCTATAGGTGTCTGACTTGTGGGCAGTCTGATACATGTTTTCGTACTTGCCTTATAAATCACATGAGTAATGGCCCTGGTCTGCATTTGGAGGTTAGACCTGCTGTTGTCATAGGGGAGCTATATGCCATGTTGCAAGAACCTTGAAAGTGCCCTATTTAATTAGAACATAGATTGATATTTTATGTACATTAAGATTTATTAAAAATGATCAAGTCTTCCTTGGTGAAGTTAAGATTTAACATCTGGAGCCTGTTTGATCATGTATTTAGACATAGACGTTTAGCACTTTTGCAGGATGTGATTGCAGAGGGTATAAATGCTCTCTCTTTTTGGAAACATGGTTGGACATGGCTTCAAATATTATTAGCTGTTAAATGCAAAAGTTTTTTGCAAAATGTCCATAATGTTTAACTTGTGTATGTATCTGAAGATTTCCTGATAAGAGATGTTGCATATCATTTGGAGTTGGACAGATAACATACAGCCATGCTGGTTCTGCTGTTAAGTTTCTTATAAAGCCATGTTATGAAAGGAATGCCAGAACATCCAGTTGCAAGTTGTAAATTGAAGAAAAACGTGGTTAGGCTGGAGTTAGCCTAGTTCTGCGTATGCGCCATAAATAAAGATCTTAAGTGGGGAAGGGTTCATGGTTGGCATTCAGTACTTGCTGCTTTGTGCGAGCTGCAGTGGGATGTGCACAGACTATGGAACCGAGCTGTGAGTCAGGAGAAGTGAGAGGCTATTGGACTAAAATTGGTAAGTGCTGAAGCATAGTATATTTTAAATAGTGGGGGTAGATTAATAAATACAAACTCTGAGGGGGGGGAGGGAAATGGTTTTTGTTTATCTTATGCTCCAGATAGAATTTTAGGTTTTCCTGTATAAAAGTTGTAAAAAAACTTCAATGTAATTTTTCATAAATGCGTTGTAATCCCAGCAGGCACTGCGTCTGGTTCAGAGGAGGAGGAAGAGGAAACCAGCACTGAAGAATCTGAGGAGGAAGAAGAGGAAGAGGAGGATGATGAAGAGGAGGAGGGTGAAGAAACGGGAAGCAATTCTGATGCTGTGTCTGAGCAGACGGCAGGTGAGCTTGATAGTTGGAACATACATGACAGAGGTGGTTATTGTCTTGCATAGTGAGGCTTAGTGCACCTGTCACATCAAAGTGGCAAGGTTGGGTTCTGTATAATAGTGTTTGTTCCAGGTATAATTTTCTATTGCTATAAAGTTTTAGCTTGTGTATCTGTCTGTCATCAGTATCTGCTTTGTCGATTTAAAGCCCTTTTAAATAATACTCCATTATTTAACAGTTAAAAATATTTTTGCAGAGGAAGTTAGTGAAGATGAGATGACTGATGAGGATGAACGAGAGATTGGAAATCACCTTCCAATTGGTAAGAATCATGACACTCTAACCAATCTGATGATCATTGCATGATATAGTGTTTATGGGGGTCAGCGACAAATTTGCTCATTATGCCCGTCGATTGGCAAACATATTTTATCGTCCGGTGCCACTATTTTATAATCCTTAGGCCTGCATGTGTCCTATACAGAGACAAAAAAGTTTTTCTTTATTTAAAACAATAGTTTAAGGGCAGCCATCTTTGTAAACATAAGATGAGCAGTATAATCTTCATAATTGTAAAATGTATGTCTATAAAAATATATGGGATGAGTATCCCAACGTGAAATAAAGCTTCTGTAAATATATTCTGTATAAATAGTCAACTGCAACATTAAGTACCTTCTAGCTAATTTTTGAAGTTCCAGAATCTAGATTTGACCATGATTCAGCTGACACTGAAGAAGATGAGGATGAAGAAGATGAAAAAAGAGATGATAGTCCTCATTCTAATGCTCAGACAGATGGAGAATATGTCCCAGATTCTCCGGCCATATCTCCTGTTGAGTTGAAGCAAGAGCTCCCCAAATACCTTCCTGCCCTGCAGGTATGTTACAAATTAGATGGCTCTGTCCCCTTGTATACCTCTCTCCAGCAGAATACTTCTTCAAATGCTTCTCAGTGTTGGCACTGATAAATTTCATCTTAATTTCACAAAAGCATCTGCTCCACTTTAATTTAATTACTTAAACTACTATGAAACAATTTAGACTTGTATTACTGTTCAAGACCACTGGACAACATGCTATTTGCCTCTAATAATTGTTCTAAGCAGGATTTAAAAAATAAAATCCTTTGTCAAAAACCAATAGTTATCTGAAGAAATGAAAAAGTGAAACATTAGGGTCTTTCCTCTTAGGTTTTTCATTTTTACACCTTGTTTTATGTCAGTACTCTGTGGCTTTTGTTTGACAGGGCTGCCGTAGTGTGGAGGAATTTCAGTGCTTGAATCGCATTGAGGAAGGTACATATGGTGTTGTGTACAGAGCAAAAGACAGAAAAACTGGTAAGTACTCATCTGGATTTCTTTAGATAAATTGTCATAGAATGAATAGCCGGGCTTTAAGTAATGTCTAGAGTATGCAAAATTAGAGAACCTTTAGAGCAACAACCTTTTTTTTTTTGGTCTTGTTTCTCACTGGGTACCCCGTCCTCACATCAGCATGGATGACGCATTCTGTGCTGGGAGAATTCAGTAGCCTTTTCACTCAGAAACTCCTGTCCATGTCTCCTGTTTGTTGGGTTGAGACACTGGACCAGTGGCATCAGGAACCACCCAGAATATTACGTATTTTAGCTGTTTATATGAGAATTGCCTCATTCCTGTGCCCAGAAATCTTTAATAAAAATATATATAGGTCTTCTCGTGTAAAGGGAAGAAATTATAATTTGTTTCAATTTCCAGTTTGAAAAAGGGCTTTTGCTCTCCATCAATTTAGAGTGTCCAAATTCTTCCAAATGTATAGCTGGTTGTGTCTTATCTATTTAAATAAATGTATGAAGTATACAATATGCATATTTATATCTGTACTTGGTGCATTGAAAGTTGATTGACTCACGTCTTTCATGCAGTAATTGAACTTGTTGCTGTAATGTACTTTGTGTAGATGAAATAGTGGCTTTGAAGCGACTCAAGATGGAGAAGGAAAAGGAAGGGTTCCCTATAACCTCACTCCGTGAAATCAACACCATTCTAAAAGCTCAGCATCCAAATATTGTTACTGTGAGGGTAAGTCATTACATGTAACTAATTTTGGACAGATAAGCAAAGTGCATTAAAATCCGTCCTCTGAATCAAACACTGCACGTGAGTAACGGCAATGGATTGTTGTTCCAAAAAGAAGGGGATTTCTGGCTGACGTTGGATATTTAATGCTGGTAACATGATGACTGTATAGAACAGTGATGGCCAACATTAGCATTAGATAGGTTTCTGACTTCATTACCCATGATGCTTAGCCAGGGAATATATCCACAACTGTCTGCAGTGATTAGCCAACACTTAAAGCAACAGTGGGTGGGGGTACAAAGTAGAATTTGAAATGTTAAAAATATTCACGTCTAACTGTTTAAGATTGGTACCTTTATGTGTTATATAGATTTCTTTGACTATCTTAAACATTTAATTTACGCATCAAAGTGGAAGTCAGTTTGGACATAAACTACCTTTTTTCTATTTATAAAGCCATTTATCCAGCTCTCCCTCCCACCCTTTCCTGTTTGTATGCTTTTGCTTCCCAAACTTAATACGATCCATAAAATTATGCGTCTGAGAGCGAAATTGCTAGCTTTCGTTCTAATTATCTCTAGTCTGTGGTGATGGTTACTGGACCGTATACATACACTGTATTTTTATTTGGCTTAGATGGGGAATCTGCACAAATACATGGATAATATATAGCACGCCTTTAACCAAACTTGGCTTTCAGGAAATGTGTGCAGATATTGCTATAAGACGTGAAGTGTAATCACAAAAACGTAATGGTTTGTGTAATGCTTATGCCGTTTTTTATATTTATTTTAGGAAATTGTTGTTGGTAGTAATATGGACAAAATCTACATTGTCATGAACTATGTGGAACATGATCTCAAGAGCCTAATGGAAACCATGAAGCAACCATTTCTACCAGGTGAATGATCTGTGTTTATAAATGAATTCTTCCCGATGTCTCTGTCATAGCCAGGCTTTCAGGGGCTGTCATAAAAGCATTATTCTATATCATTGCTTACTTACATGTTATCTTTCCATAATAAGCACAGACATGCCCACTCTTGCAATCATATGAGGAAGAGTAAATATAAAAAAAAGTACAAATGGCAGTTTAGTGAAGTACTGCAAATTACATAATGTGTGAATCTAATACAACATTCTTCTACACCACTTTAATTGTTCATTTTGGGTCTTTTTTATTTATTTAAATCAAAGCATTTTGGACCAACTCTTATAAATCATTCTCTAGACAACTGCTGATCTTGAATTCAAGGTACCCTTCTGAGTCTCACTCCAACTTCAAAGGATCCCATAATGTGGGAATTCCTCAATGAAAACCCCAAAAGTTCTCCCCTTGGTACCAGTACCAATGAGCTTACAGTTGTCCTGTGGTACATGAGACTTTGTTCAGGTCCTAGACACAGTATAGAAATATGCAGTGAAAGCTATCCTGTTTAAAAATAAAATGTCTGTTTCATTTACCGGTATTTTGCATCTCCGGAATTACTGTTTTGTAGTTTGTCAAGCCATTCTTCCTACTTTGTTGTTTTTTTTTGTTTTTGTTTTAATGTGTGCTCTTCCTTGGTAGACTGATTAGGCATTGTTTAATGACCTACTATATATATATATATATATATTATTTATTTTGCTTTGATATCATTTCCCAACAGGGGAGGTGAAAACGCTTATGATTCAGCTGTTAAGAGGCGTTCGACATCTCCACGACAACTGGATTCTTCACAGAGACCTAAAAACCTCAAACTTGCTGCTTAGCCATGCTGGCATCTTAAAAGTAAGGATTATTTTTAAACAAAATTATATTTAAATTTGTAGCTACAATGCCCTGAGTGGAAGAGGTGGATTTTGGGGTAGTCTGACAACTGCAAAGCCCAGCTGGGGTACGACTTCAGATGAGAGCACACATTGCTTCCATGAGTTATTGGGATTAGTATCCTATAACGAAAAATGCTGCATGTGTGTGGCAGTTGCATAACATACATGCAAGAGGCTGCTAGCATTGATTTTCTTCTTGTGAGTAAAAGACTTTTGTCATTGGTCTGCCAAAAGACTCCTTTAGTGTTTAGAACTCCGGCATAGTCTACTTGATACTTTACTAATGTCACTTGTTTCCAGGTTGGAGATTTTGGCTTGGCTCGGGAGTATGGGTCACCATTGAAGTCCTACACACCCATAGTAGTCACTCTCTGGTATCGTGCTCCAGAACTGTTACTTGGTGCAAAGGTAGGTACTTTACGGTGTCTGAGATTATTAGCACATTTTGGCTAGTCTTCGTGTAAGTGTGACGTGTTTGTTATTTACACACTGCATTGTTTTTTTCTGTTTGCAGGAATATTCTACCGCCATAGACATGTGGTCTGTTGGTTGTATATTTGGAGAACTGCTGACCCAAAAACCATTATTCCCAGGGAAGTCTGATATCGATCAGATTAATAAAATATTTAAGGTAAAAGTGTTGCTCATAATGGCTATGATGCTGACATGTCAAGTATAAAGCGGTGTTTCTGTCTGTTTTATTAGGAATCTTGAAATATGGCTGCCTTGGTATTGGTTACATATAAGAAGTCAATGACATTTTCTAGAGAATGTTGCATCCCATTGTACAGCGCTACGGAATCTGATGGTGCTATATAAATAAGAAATAATAATTTTAGCTCTGTTGCTTTTTTTCGTATTCCGCAGGATATAGAACTTTAAATATAATACTGACTTATAGACTATGTATACCATAAACCTTTTTCTATACAAGGGTTTACAGTAAGTACCCAGTGTTCCCATTGTAAATAATGGAAGAACCAGGATTGGTAGATAGATCTAACACTTCCTGGTCTTTGGAGAAATCCCTGCAGAAGCGACAGTTTTAGATATTTGCAATGAGCAACGGACACTGTTGGGAGGGCTGGGGTGATTATTTATGGATTATATCCGCGATGCATAGACAGCTATTTGCCTTACTCTAGAATGTTATGTTTCTGATTTGTATTTATTTTTTTATTACTAAAATGATAATTAAGAAGTCTAGTTGAAATTAACATTACCAATGCTTTTTTTAAATTTTTTTACATTTTATAGGATCTTGGCACACCAAGTGAGAAGATCTGGCCCGGGTACAATGAACTTCCTGCGGTGAAGAAAATCACTTTCACAGAATATCCGTACAACAATCTCCGAAAGAGATTTGGAGCTCTTCTCTCAGACCAGGGCTTCGATCTGATGAACAAGTATGTAAATAATCAAAAATTAAGTTAGTCTAGCTATGCTAGTGATAATGGAGATTTTTTTTTTTTAGGTTATGATTTGAGATATTCCAGGTAAAAATATGGTAGGTTGGTTCATCCATGGGAGGGAGGGAGGCGGGGGTGGAGTTGAGTAGTTCATATATGGATAATCCCAGTCTACAATATAGCTAAACAGCACTTCCCCACTCTAATACATGCGGTACATCCTAGTACTTTTTAGGAAACTACCTTCACCAGAGTTTCTACATAATACTACATTACCGTACAAGTTTAACTTCTGGAGCCAGAGATTTTCTTTTTGTGATGGTTTCTGATTTCATCCATTTTCTCTACCTTCTCTTCCAGGTTTTTAACCTATTGTCCAGCCAAAAGAATCAACTCAGAAGATGGTTTAAAGCATGAATATTTCAGAGAGCCTCCACTACCCATTGACCCATCTATGTTTCCAACTTGGCCTGCTAAGAGTGAGCAACAGAGGGTTAAACGTGGAACCAGTCCTCGTCCGCCAGAGGGAGGATTAGGGTACAGTCAGCTGGTGAGTATGGCTCTATGGTTTCAAACTTGGACTAGACTTCAATAGACCACTATACATTAACAAACATTGCATTGCACTGCTTGTCCCTCCGACACAAGGAAGAGTTAATATATCTTGGGTGAAAAAATACTGGATTTTTTGTGAAAGACGAAAAGTCAGTCACCAGGAAAATGCAGACATGAAATGCTACACTCGACTGAGACGGGAATAACAACACTTCTAATCGCCTTCCTTACTGTTTAACTATAGTATTCTCCCAGTGTTGTAATGAGCATTTTAATTTGTACATTGAAAATTGGTGCGCCGCAAATGAAAAACAGATGTTTTAATCCAGACTTTAATTTTCAACAGGAAAGATACTAATTATTATATTGGCATGAACGTAGCAGTTAAGTGCACGTTATGCATGTTTCAGTGCTTATTCTTTTGGCATTGGATTTATGTAACAAGACAGAAATGGGCACAAAAAAAAAATGAAAGGTGCTTAATGACGTTTATGTGTAATGGATGCTTTAAGGAATAACTAAAATGTAATTTTGTTCGTGAACAGGGTTGTCATTGGGTGACTGTTGCTTTTACAGGGTTTTTTTTGTTGGGTTTTTTTTGGGGCGTTCTTTATGGTTTGAAGTGATAAACAGGCTTGAGGGAATAAAACATAAAAATACAGATGGTCAGTACTAGTTGGGGTATAGTAAGAGCTAGAATGTAGTCCATCCCTATTAACTAAAAGCTTAATACAGTATAACATGAGACAAGAAATGTACATGAGATCAGGACCCAAAGACAGAGAAAATGACGAACGATGTGTTCCAAGCAAGTATGATTATAGCTCAACATAGAACATCAATGCTGGCAGACAGAGGTTCTGTGGTCCTTTTCCCGAGATTGCCTATAGATGAGAGGCAGCAGGTACGTGGCAGCAAGAGTCCATCTAGCCTTGTGTGGGGGCACAGGATTTTTAAAAGTAGGTTTACTTTTATCCCCTGAATTTAACAAATAAATGTTTGTTAGATCTGAAAATTAAAACGAAATGTAGAAATTGACACTCTTGTATTTAGTTCTATCCTTGAACTGTTACAATCTCTGCCTTTTTCTGTCATTGAACATAAAACGTGGAGGAGAAAAAGCAGAAACAATATTTCTGTTTCCCCTCGCCCAATGCAATGTGTTCTGTGCCTGGGCTGAGCTGGATTTTGGTGTCTGTTTCTTAAATAGGTTAAGTACACAGAAAATAGAGCATCACATTGAAAAACAACATTAACACATATGACTTTCTATAACCGGTCCCTATAAGTTTGTCCACATTTTTCTGTAAATGCTGTACACTACTGCAGTCTGCATGGCACAGAGCAGATTGCTGTAAAAAAAATATACTTTTTTGACTTTAACCATAAAAGGCAACAACAGTCACGGTGTGGGAGGAGGTCCTTGTTGCAGTCTAAGCATGGTTCTTAAAATATTACTGCTAATTCCTGTGTTTTTGTTTGCATTTGTCACTCATTGATTATTACTCCTCTGTTCTGCATTCCCAAGGCCTATGTCTAATTAACTTTTTATATAGATATATTGATCCACGGAGAGCGAGAGTAGGGCATATATACTCCCGGCCACACGTTTACTGTCCCATCAGCTGAGTCATCATTTATTTAATGTAATCGCAGGATTTCTTATGCAATGGACCCCTTATGCTGACAGTAGTGGCAAGTGTAGCAAATAGTTTTTATTTTGTAAATCTTTATTTTGGTGTGCTTAGATAGCATAACGTCAAGCAATGCCACAACTGCAAAAACAGGAACATAATGAGACATATTGCAGAATGCTTTAAATAATTATCAAGTGAAGGGAACAGCACAATTTTATACTGTAGAGGTCATAATAGTGTTAAGTTTACATGCCTAAGATCAAATAATGAGAGGTCAGCAAAATGTTTTTATGTGAAAACTAATCATTAGCTAAAAACAGTGTGTGAAATTTCAAGATATATATCGCACAAGAGAAATGTTCGATTCCCTTATTGTTTGAAAATATAGCTATAGCATGCTACAGCCTATAATCAATAAAACTGTGTCCTAAATCAGTTAATTGGTGGAAAAAAACCTCCTGAATGAAGATAAGATGTGATTTCTGTTTGTTTGCAGGGAGATGATGATTTGAAAGATACCGGCTTTCACCTGACAACCACCAACCAAGGAGCATCTGCTGCTGGTCCTGGGTTCAGTCTAAAGTTTTAAACTTGATCTTTTGAAATGACTTGCTTCCCATTAAATCATTCAAATAACGTACAAACCATACTTGGTGTTCGGAGACATATTTCATTCCAAATGAGGACATCGTGATGTGAGCAAGGACTACAACAAATATTCTCAAGTCTTTGACTTAATTTATTTTTCTCTGTTGTATATTTGTAGAGATGAAATGCATTTCAAATTGTTTATCCTGGTTCTGTAAACTGTTGGGTTGATGAAATCTACCATATTTTGTATGGTTTTTATGTTTATATATGTTCGCTACCACACTTTTCTATTTTAAGGTCTTGGGATGTTCAGTCCCTGCTTCGTGTGGAGTTACAGATGACTTTTGTTACCTGGATGAAATTAGTTTTTTTGAGGTTTTGCAGAATTTGAGAATGAAGTGATCTTTGAACCATATCTGGTCATGACAAAACGTGACCTGAATGTTGGATTGTTACTGTATCCATATTGACCTATCAACACTTCTTTTGAACATCCTGCTGTAACACTTTGACCTCTCCGCAGACCAACGTTCCAGTAAAGCCAAAGAGCATGTCACTGGAACCATTAAACAAGGGAAGCTTTAAAAAAAAAAAAAAATCTTATGTCTGTACACCCACACATGTATGTGTTTTACAGGCTTATTTTTCTTAAACTTATTTTTGTATTAAAGAAGTCCCTCACCTTTGGAAAAGTGCAGTTTTCATTATTTTGGGTTTCAGGAGTTTGCTGATTTCTTCCCCCCACTCCTTTTATTTCCTGTAATGTAATACCATGTTAAAGACATCTGAGATATATATATATTTGCTACCTCTAACGCAGGTATATCCATCCTTTGTCTTCCAGCTGTTAATGGACTAAAAGTCACATAATTAGCAAGTTGGGGCTCAGTAACTGCTCAAGGGGAGCCGTGGGCATGCCTGCTCTAAAGTCTAACAGGGCTTTTAAAAGTAAAAAAAAATAAAAATTCATATCACAAGAGATATATTTCTCACATACGATATATCTGCACATGTTTTTTGTTCTACCAAATTTATGAACAGGTGAACAAAAAAGGGTTGTAGACTGTTTTTTGTTTTTATTTTATTGGCAAAATATGAATATGCAATTGTAAATAAAATAGCGTTTTATAATTATGCTGTAGTAACATTTTTATTTTGGGGTTGAATTCGTTAAAAAAAAATGCGTCCAGGGCTGGACTGGCCCACCGGGATACCAGGAAATTTCCTGCTGGGCCGCAGCACTTGGGGCTGGGGAGAGAGCTCTAATACCTATAGTAATATCATTTGGTAATTGTCCGAGGAAATTATGGAGGGAGGAACTTGGGGCCATATGGCCGCATTGAGGATAGGGCGGCTGGAGGGAGCTTTCTGGCACTCAGCCTCTGCCCACAACCGTAAGCTCCGTCCCTAATCGCAAGCTCCACCCCATCTCAAGCTGCTGACTTCAGGGCCTCGTAAGGCTTCCACAGCAGCATCCGACAGTGCCAGGTGGGCTTCAGATACACTGCAGCTAGTGAGTGAGAGAGTGATCTTGTGTGTCAGTGAGCATGTCTGCAGTGAGTTTGTCTGTAGTAAGCTTGTGTGTGTGTCAGAGAGTTTGTACTACATGTGTCTACCTGTAAGCTTGTGTGTGTCAGTGAGATTGCCTTTGTGTCAGTGAGATTGTCTGTGCCTGCATGTGAGTATGCTTACTGTATAATTTATTATTTTTACCCTGAACGGACTAATATTTATAATCAAAAAAGGAACATACCAACAATAAAAGTGTCAAGCCATAAGACTCTTTTCCCACAGAAATATCACATTAACCCCTTCAGCACGGAGTCAATAGTGCACGTTCTGATCAAAACAAAACGTAAACAAAAACTGGAATATGCGCTATATGTCTGTTCAACCGTAATTCACCGCTGTCACATTAAGTGCACCCACACTTATTATATATCATTTTGTTCAGGAGAAACAGGGCTTTAAGTTATCACTAACTATTCATATATGGAACATAATTTATTATGAATAAAAAAATGTGAGAAAATAAGATTTATTTTTTAAAAAATTTGAATTTTGTCTGACATTTTAGCTGTGAATGTCATAATACTGTGCATATTTGTAATCAGTGATGTCTCACGAGTACAACAGTACCCCCCATTAACAGGTTTTACGGTGTTTTGGAAAGTTACAGGGTCAAATATAGAACGTTCCATTTTCACATTGAAATTTGCCAGATTAGTAATGTTACCTTTGAGACGGTGTGGTAACCCAGGAATGAGAATTACCCCCATAATGGCATACCATTTGAAAAAGTAGACAACCCAAGGTATTGAAAGTGGGGTATGTTTAGTCTTTTTTAGTAGCCACTTAGTCACAAACACTGGCCAAAATTAGCATTCATATTTGTTTTTGTGTGAAAAAAGCAAAAAACTAATATTTGGCCAGTGTTTGTGACTAAGTGGCTACTCAGAAAGACTGGACATACCCCACTTGCAATACCTTGGGTTGTCTATTTTTGCAAATGTTATGCCATCATGGGGGTAATTCTCATTCCTGGGCTACCATACGGTCTCAAAGGCAACATATCCAATCTGGCAAATTTTAACATTAAAAAAATGAAATGCAATCCTTATATGTGACACTCTAACGTTCCAAAACACCATAAAACCTGTACATGGGGGGTACTGTTATTCTCGGGAGACTTCACTAAACACAAATATTAGTATTTTAAAACAGTAAAACATATTACAACAATAATATGGTCCATAAAAGTGCTGTTTGTAAAAAATGCAAAAAACATCACTTTTACTTAAAATATCGTTGTAATACAATTTACCAGTTTGGAACACTAATATTTGAGTTCAGCGAAGTCTCCCGAGTAAAACAGTACCCTCTATGTACAGGTTTTATGGTGTCTTAGAGAGTTACAGGATCAAATATAGTGCTTGCGAATTAACTTCTCTGCACGTTCTCCCTGTGTTGTCAGGCATGTCAATCAAATTTTAATTAATCAAATCACATAATTATGTTCAAAGATTACTTAAATATACACGTAGAATTTTAATGTATATGCATTTATAGGTATTTAAATTCTACTGTGTATACTAATGTAATCATTTATGTAATTATATGTATATATATATATATGTACTGCAGAGAGCCCCAGATGGAATTTCTTTCCCCAAGTAGGTTAATCTCATAAGAGCAGACATTAGGCTGTTAGTGTAGGACCTGCCAAAGATGGGGTACATTGACGTTGTGGCAGGCTTATGCAATGTATGATCATATAATGTAACTAAACCCCCATTATTTTTGCCTAGATTAGGTGTTTTTAAAAAACAAATAAAATCTTTCAACATTGAAGTTGCTGTTTAGTGGATAGGTGAGTGCGCTGGATCTTGTGTATTGTATTATTTGGCCCCCAGCAGCACCCCATTTATGCATGTTAAGGTGAGTGCAGCCAACCCCCTCTTGTTTTATATATATTTGGGAGTCTAGCCAACTCCTTGGTTTTGCACCCCTCCCTGTCACAGGTGCCTCATCCCAGGGCCCTATTTAGCCTTGTACTGCAGAGAGCCCCAGATGGAATTTCTTTCCCCAAGTAGGTTAATCTCATAAGAGCAGACATTAGGCTGTTAGTGTAGGACCTGCCAAAGATGGGGTACATTGACGTTGTGGCAGGCTTATGCAATGTATGATCATATAATGTAACTAAACCCCCATTATTTTTGCCTAGATTAGGTGTTTTTTAAAAAACAAATAAAATCTTTCAACATTGAAGTTGCTGTTTAGTGGATAGGTGAGTGCGCTGGATCTTGTGTATTGTATTATTTGGCCCCCAGCAGCACCCCCATTTATGCATGTTAAGGTGAGTGCAGCCAACCCCCTCTTGTTTTATATATATATTTGGGAGTCTAGCCAACTCCTTGGTTTTGCACCCCTCCCTGTCACAGGTGCCTCATCCCAGGGCCATATTTAGCCTTGTACTGCAGAGAGCCCAGATGGAATTTCTTTCCCCAAGTAGGTTAATCTCATAAGAGCAGACATTAGGCTGTTAGTGTAGGACCTGCCAAAGATGGGGTACATTGACGTTGTGGCAGGCTTATGCAATGTATGATCATATAATGTAACTAAACCCCCATTATTTTTGCCTAGATTAGGTGTTTTTAAAAAAACAAATAAAATCTTTCAACATTGAAGTTGCTGTTTAGTGGATAGGTGAGTGCGCTGGATCTTGTGTATTGTATTATTTGGCCCCCAGCAGCACCCCCATTTATGCATGTTAAGGTGAGTGCAGCCAACCCCTCTTGTTTTATATATATTTGGGAGTCTAGCCAACTCCTTGGTTTTGCACCCCTCCCTGTCACAGGTGCCTCATCCCAGGGCCCTATTTAGCCTTGTACTGCAGAGGGCCCCAGATGGAATTTCTTTCCCCAAGTAGGTTAATCTCATAAGAGCAGACATTAGGCTGTTAGTGTAGGACCTGCCAAAGATGGGGTACATTGACGTTGTGGCAGGCTTATGCAATGTATGATCATATAATGTAACTAAACCCCATTATTTTTGCCTAGATTAGGTGTTTTTAAAAAAACAAATAAAATCTTTCAACATTGAAGTTGCTGTTTAGTGGATAGGTGAGTGCGCTGGATCTTGTGTTTTGTATTATTTGGCCCCAGCAGCACCCCCATTTATGCATGTTCAGGTGAGTGCAGCCAACCCCCCCTTGTTTCATATGTATATATTTGGGAGTCTAGCCAACTCCTTGGTTTTGCACCCCTCCCTGTCACGGGTGCCTCATCCCAGGGCCCTATTTAGCCTTGTACTGCAGAGAGCCCCAGATGGAATTGTTTTCCCCAAGTAGGTTAATCTCATAAGAGCAGACATTAGGCTGTTAGTGTAGGACCTGCCAAAGATGGGGTACATTGACGTTGTGGCAGGCTTATACAATGTATGATCATATAATGTAACTAAACCCCCATTATTTTTGCCTGGATTAGGTGTTTTAAAAAACAAAATAAAATCTTTCAACATTGAAGTTGCTGTTTAGTGGATAGGTGGAGTGCAGCTGGATCTTGTGTATTGTATTATTTGGCCCCCAGCACCCCCATTTATGCATGTTAAGATTGAGATTACCCGTGGCCCCTCTTGTTTTATATATATATATTTGGGAGTCTAGCCAACTCCTTGGTTTTGCACCCCTCCCTGTCACAGGTGCCTCATCCCAGGGCCCTATTTGGCCTTGTACTGCAGAGAGCCCCAGATGGAATTTCTTTCCCCAAGTAGGTTAATCTCATAAGAGCAGACATTAGGCTGTTAGTGTAGGACCTGCCAAAGATGGGGTACAGTGACGTTGTGGCAGGCTTATGCACTGTATGATCATATAATGTAACTAAACCCCCATTATTTTTGCCTAGATTAGGTGTTTTTAAAAAAACAAATAAAATCTTTTAACATTGAAGTTGCTGTTTGGTGGATAGGTGAGTGCGCTGGATCTTGTGTATTGTATTATTTGGCCCCCAGCGGCACCCCCATTTGTGCATGTTAGGGTGAGTGCAGCCAACCCCCTTTTGTTTTATATATATTTGGGAGTCTAGCCAACTCCTTGGTTTTGCACCCCTCCCTGTCACAGGTGCCTCATCCCAGGGCCCTATTTAGCCTTGTACTGCAGAGAGCCCCAGATGGAATTTCTTTCCCCAAGTGGGTTAATCTCATAAGAGCAGACATTAGGCTGTTAGTGTAGGACCTGCCAAAGATGGGGTACATTGACGTTGTGGCAGGCTTATGCAATGTATGATCATATAATGTAACTAAGCCCCCATTATTTTTGCCTAGATTAGGTGTTTTTAAAAAAACAAATAAAATCTTTCAACATTGAAGTTGCTGTTTAGTGGATAGGTGAGTGCGCTGGATCTTGTGTATTGTATTATTTGGCCCCCAGCAGCACCCCCATTTATGCATGTTAAGGTGAGTGCAGCCAACCCCCTCTTGTTTATATATATATTTGGGGAGTCTGTAGCTCCTTGGTTTTGCACCCCTCCCTGTCACAGGTGCCTCATTCCAGGGCCATATTTAGCCTTGTACTGTGGAGAGCCCCAGATGGAATTTCTTTCCCCAAGTAGGTTAATCTCATAAGAGCAGACATTGGG